ATAATTGTTTGCCAAGAGATTTGAATTGTTTGCCAAGAGATTATTCAAATTGCAGGTTGTTGCGAGGGATTTTTGGACAATTGAGTTAAGTGAATTGAGCTGGGTTCGATGGAACCTATTTTCTGGATTACATCGAACCCAGATTTGCTGGTTCCGTCGAATTTCATAATCGATGGGCAAAGAAGCAATTGTTAGTGGTGATGTGGGACCCACTTGGATGGATTTTGTGTGTTTTCGCCAGGTAACATGTGAGATGGCAAAAATTTTATCCACGTCATTACTTTTTTAAATTTTGCTCTCCACGTCATCAAAAAAAATATAAAAAATGCCACATAAGCAAGGTTAACAGCCCAAATTAATAGAAGGACTAACGGAGTGCATTTCGTATAGTTGAGGGATCAAAAAAGTGAAAAAAATTGTTGAGGGACAAAAATGTTCATTTCTTAAAGTTAAGGGACCAAATTAAGCATTTAACCATAAATTTTCTTTAATTTCAATCAAAATTCATTTTTCAATTTGAAAAAAGGAATCTGATTGAAATTAAAAAAAAAAAAAATTAGTTGTATTCTTTTGGTTTTTTAGATTTCTATCTTAATTTAGTTAATATTTTTTTTTAATCTCAATCAAAATTCATTCTTCAAATTCAACTAATCGTTTTATTTGATTACAAATATTTAATATTGTTCTAGGGTACGTGAGAGCCATTTATTAATTTTTTTTAATTTTTAAACTTTTAAAATTAAATTATTTCATTTTTAATTTTTGAGGATTAATTCTGTAAATATTTTATTTTATCTTTAATGGATGGTGAACATATTTCATTAATTTAAAGGTAAAATCTTTAAACCTTTAAATTTAGAGATTACAAATTTTATAATATAAGATAAAAAGTTAAAAGTTTCAAACTTAATAAGATAAAAAACTAAATATATATTTTAGCCAATAAAAAAATGTATTTATACCAATAATTTAACAATTACATACTCTATAAGCCTTTCTCAAATAATGTCCGAAGTTAAACACAAGCATATGTATTAAAGTTTGTTTTGTATGATGGTACAATAATGTGTTCCGTGCACGTAGGGCGAAATGAAGGTATACACGCAACGAATTGGATACGGTACCGTGAATTAATATTCAAGATTGAGAAGAATTATTTACTGAACTTTAAAATGCCAATGACATCCATTAATTTGCTTCTTTGTTCTAGTAATGACATGGACAACACTTTTTTTTTTAATTTTTTGAACCGTGGGAAATTAAGAAATTGAAGAATAATTACAATAATATTACAATTATAACTTAAATTTTTTTTTATTAAAGAGATTGATTAAAGAGTTGGGAAGGAGATGGGTGCTTGTATTTTTCTTATTGTCTCTTGGTATTTGTGGTTTTAGAGGAATGTTTGTATGTTTCAGAATAATGGGAGTTATAGGAAGAGAATACTGGATATGATACAAGTTAAATCATTTATTTGGGTTGAAAATGAGTTATCTGGTTATTTTTTTTCATTCTATGAATGGAAGATTGATCTAGTTGTTTGTGCTTAGATGGTGAGAAGGCAAAAAATTCAATTGAAGATGTATTTGAAGCAGCAACAGGGTCATGGTTAATGTGTAAATTGCAGGTTTGCTTAATGTTTGGTTACTGGAATTGTGCAGATTAGGTGTATGATTTTCTTGGCCGGTTTCTATTGTGATTGTTTCAAATTTTTTTAATTTTGTAAACAAGTTGGAGTATCTCTTGTATTTCACATAATAAAAAATTTTATTTTACTGATAAAAAAAAAAAGAGAAAGAAGAAGAAAAAAGATTGCTGATGCACTTCCACTGCGGCTAACGCAGCAAGTGTAACAGGGGCGAGACTTGAAGAAGACACTTTAAGGAGCGCTCATCACAGCCATTTTGCACGATATGATATCCATTTGTTCAATCAAAGCACTGCTTTACTTGCATGCTTTAACGATTAAACAGAAATGCTTGCTGCCCCCACATAAAAAGCAACTGCTTTCCACACAAAAAGCCAATAAATCGACAAAGGTTGTCCTGATCCACTCTGCAATCTGGGCGTAACGTACGAATGGTATTGGAAAGGAAAAATAAAGGCACAATGAAGTGATGCTACTGGATGGCAGTAAAAGTAAATGGTGGGGATTTACGAATTAGAATTTTAAGAATTGATAAATGTAAAATTAAAAATATTATGATATAATAAAATAATAAATTATATACTTAAATCTTTATAATTAATATCTTACTTAAAAATTTTTAAGGATCATCATAGACAAAACTTATAAAATAAATATAGTTAATATTCAAATTTAAGTTTTTGTCTCCCTATTTAACT